TAAATGACTAGTGAGTCTATGATGTCCCAGTGAATATTAAAGTAAAAGTTATATTTTAATAATGTTTTAAAATTACTGCGCAAATAAGTTCCATGGAGCTCTACACAGACAGCTGCTGAGTGGTAAGTCTGCCTTTGGAAACAGGGATGTGAAGTAAACTGGGACTGTTGTCCCTGGAGGGCCATACCAGTAAGCTTATACAAGTTTAATTTAAGAAATTTGGGCAGAATTGGGTTCAGCTTAGTGGTGCAGCCCTCCACAGCAGTCCCAGGCTCTCATATGGCTCCTTGGAAACATTAATTCCCCACCCCCGTTCATCAGTCTAACTATTACAAACGTGAAGAGCTTATTTCTCCCTGCAACTGCATGGAACATTTAAATCAAGAATTCTCAAATAGCAAAAGATAAATATAAAAGAGTAAGTTTTTTGTGTATATGTGCAGTTACTGGGAAATCTAAAGTACTTAAAGATTTTTATCAGGAGACTAAATTCAGCATTTGCCAGTTTAAACTCACATATGCTGAAAACTGTTATTTTTAGAGACAGACTCTCAGCAGGGTTGAAGATATTTAAAGTAAAGACGTGATCAGTTCTTCACTTTGATAGCAGTAAATTGTTGACTGCATGAACACGCTATTGGAGCTGTAGCAATACTCCATTACCACGCTAAATGCTGAGAAAACAATCTCACCAGAAGATCTAGTTCTTCGTAACTGTTCTTCATCATCAGGGTTGCCCAGTCATGCAACGTGTTAATTTTCCACTTCCATCTGCTGAAAAAGCCGGTGTGATTTCCAATGTCAGAGCAGTTACTAATTTAACTGTGGAGTGACACTTTTTTTTTTTTAACTTATCTTCTTTTCTAAGTCTTGCGAATGAACTTTGAACCTTGTCTAACATGGCCAACAGCTTTCAAAAATGTGAAAAAGAACTCCAACAAAACCAAACAACAACTGAGCAAAACTCCATCTGCTGTTTTGGATTTATTGAAAGCTGCAGAAAAGCAAATAAATTCTGGGAGATTGTTTTCTCCACACTGCTGTTTCCTTGAATCAACATCAGTCAGGGTTTGAAAATAATTTGTTTTCCTTTTTTTTTAACTCTCTGAGCCACAGGACATAAAAAGTGCTATTTTCCGCACCTTAACACCGGCTGAGTCCCATAAAATCTAAAAAGACAAATAAGTAAGCTGTGCCTATGTTTGACCTGAAGTCTGAGGTCCTGCTGAAGAATATTTTAGGTTATTGTTCACCAAGATAAGTGTGCTGCTTTTGCTCCCCCCTTTTCTCCTTGTCTACTGAGTAACTTCTAATGCAAACAATACCCCATGTTTCCATAGCAACACAGGACAAGCGGCCTTGGAGCATGTGGCCGGTCTGGTTTGATCCTCAGGAGGCCAAAAGCTTAAATTTTCACTTGCTTTGCTTTACTTTGCTGTCATGACCTTCAGGCCTGGAAATGTAGTTGGTGTAATGTACACAGTGCTGCTGCAGGTCGAAACTAAACACCTTAACGGGTGAATGTAGGGTTCACTTACAGCAGTGGGAGGAGCTTGTGGTCTGCTGGTCATCCCCCAGGAAACACTTCATTTGGGGCATTTTGCTGAAGTTTTATACACCAGTTAGGACCTTTTACATGTTTATGGTGGAAAGGCTTCTTTTTGTTTGTTTCTTTCTTTAAGAAAAATAAAAATCAGGCATGAAGCTCTCTGGCATTCTGTACCATTGTCATGTAATTATTCTCAGCTTTTCTATTTAATATTATCCCTCCCGAGTTAGCACGCATGTGGGTATGATTAACTCTTTGGTCCCTGTGAGAGCTGAGGCTTCTGTCCGATATCAGTTTTATTTTGTTTGAGCAGCAGCCTGTTTCAATATGCACGTAGAGCCAAACCTGCTGTCATTTCTAAACACCTGGACTTTATAGCTCAAATACGATTTTGCAGGATTTGTGTCCATGCTCAAAACTCTCTGCAGTTGCAAATGCTTTGGATGATTTTTATAAATCATTTACATTTCAACTGGCTTTAAATCTAAGGAGGACAGGCAACATTATCTTAAGATTAGTCAGCAAACTAGCAAAAACACTTCTGAACAAAGAGAAAAAACTATTGCATAACTTACTCTACTAGCTACATTTTCCACAAAAGGTTCAGTAATAGCGCTTCCACCACCACATTATTTATTATATTTTATTAAGATGCCATGGTACACACCCTACAATGTTTCCTGTAACCCAAATATCATGTATACAGTGCATGTAGTGTTCTTTTCTTGTATATTGTTTTATTTACTTTTGCACCTTTGTAATCATAATTCTTAATTTTACTGGGGGACAAATGTGTGTGTGTCACCTCAACCCTGCCTCCAGATTTACAGTTATACTTAACAATACAAAAACCACATTAAATGTTCATAATGGCATCCTACATGTTCATTTGAAAGAGTCAATATTAGTATGTACATAAGCCTGCTAATTAATTTTAATATCTAATTACCAATTCAATTGTATTTAAATTTATACAGCAAAGCATTTTAGGCAAAATGAAGAGACAGGAACACCAAATTTGGCGCTATATAAATAAAACTGAATTGAATTGAACACTAATACAATACCTCCTTTTCCAAAAATCTGCTCAAACTGATTTCACTGATTAGTTTCTTTGAGCTATCGCTGGATGGATTGAGGCCTGCACACACGCTGAAAAAGGCCTCTAGTTTTGGTTTGGTAGATTTGGTTTCCTGGGAAGTTTGTTAACGTTTATCAGCCAGAGAAACATCCCTTCACTGTGAAGATCAATACTGCAATAACGAGTGTCCATTAGAAGCAAAACTTCCAGGGAAAAATGATTTTTAAAACCTCATTTTGGTGAGAGCTCTTTTCAGAAACACAAAAACTTGGTGGTGATGTGCTGCTCTCGCTCCTCGTGCATGCAGTAATTTGTCCTACAGCAGGATGCATGATGGTTTACAGTGTCTGGATGGTGACCACTGGTTGCACACTACTTATTATGAGGCCCAGTTAGATACTTTTAGTGCACTATTTAGGGTATAATGATACTTGGTGAATATCTGAAGATACACCCACGTTTGCTAACACCTTAGGCCAATTAACCAATTGACTAACATGTCTTTGGACTTTGGCAGAAATCTGGGGAACCTGGAAAAATCTCAGTACAGACCAGCAGGTTCACACCCAGATCACTGATGCAGTCAGGCGGCAGCACAAACCACCGTGCTACCCCTTTGTAAGAGTTCCTATGAGTCACATTTGCATCTCATTGCCTGTAGGCCTTTTTCACAACAGATTATTTGTCTTGTCAAAGCAGGAAAAGCACAGGTATGGATTTCACTACACCAACAATGACCCCAGCTTCATTAAGTGTTTCAGTAAACTGGTCCAGTGAGCCAGCATTCACAGTGCTGAGGCTCTCCTTAAGCAGAAGACAGGAGTCATTAATGTGATGAATTCACTTGTGGCTGCGTGCTGATAAATTAAAATGTTTGCTGTGAAAACACTGTGGAAGGAGTAGCCAACACACGCCTGCATGCTTTGGTTACAATAAAGCCCCCTTTGTCCTGTGAAGTGTTTAAAGATTAAAGTCTTTATCATACCGACAGAGTTTTTGTGGCAAAGCTGTGTCGTGATTTTTAAGATTCTTTTTCGGTTGTTCTGATTTTATCTGGGAATATGGACACAGAGCGTTAGGACATACACCACAGTGCTCTATAATCCACAATAATACCATTTGCTGGGTGAGTCTGTGTGTGATCCCAGTGCCTTTGGAGGCAAATGTAGACCTGAGGTAGGGGGTCGGTGTGTGGACAATGAATAGTTGCTGTAGCATCGTAATAAATAAAAAGCCTGCTATTATGACTTGTCCTGCCTATTATACTGAAGTATATTTTGCACTGTAGTGTTCTGCAGTCGCGTCCATCTGGCCACAAAAAGCGTGGGCGTCTGCAGGGCTTCGTGTTCACTAGCTGATTCGGACTCTCACATTCATGGAAGTGGAAACTCACACTAGCATGACAGTACGTTTCAGACTGGGGTTTTTTTTTCTTCTTTTTTTGGATATGATGTCACAGAGAGTGGGTTGCTCTTTCTGGCTGTGGATGCAGGAGACCCATTGTGCTGTTCCACCCTCCTCGAGAGGGGAGACGTTCAGAAAAAAATGTATTAAAGCTAAAACTGAGGGGCTGATCCAAGGCCCAAGCATGACTCATGCAAAGCTACTTTAATTCCAAGAATAAAGATGAGCTCATTAAGAGAAATTCAGCACCTTAACCAGCAGGATATTCGTTTTTCCATTAATTGGGAGTCTGTGAAAGTAGACGGTATCAAAAGTTGGAATAAATGAAGTCAGTGTGTATGGAAATGACTTAAGCAAAAAAAAAAAAAGTTCACTGCCCATAGCAACAGCCCCAACTTCCTGAATGTAAATTTTCAATGTAAATTTGAATCCACAGACTGTATATAAAAGATGGCTACAGGCATGGTGAGGTCACCCACTGGTTTTCCATTCTGCTTTTTCAAGCTTCTACATTAGCGCTTTGGTCTGGCTGTTAGTTGTCTTCATTATTATTAATATTATTATTATAGCCCCGGTTGTGTCCACTCGGTTGAAACGTGCTGGTCCTTAAATGCTACCATGTGGAAAAGCACGATAGAGCAAATACTTCCTCTGTTGTGCAGACTGAATTCTAAATAAAATTATTAAAATGTGCTATCAAAGCTAAAGCGGGTGATTTTTTTAATAACAGAAAATAATTTGTTTACAGTGAAGATTTACTAACGTGACATCTGCAGACTGGCTCTTGTTGACACTGTAGTTTGACAAGCAGGAATGAAAGTTCACATCCTGATTTAAACAATGGCCCCTATTATGCATGTCCGCCCACAGAAACAATATGCTGAAATGATGATATCACTACAGTACTGCTCGGCTTTGTTGTATTTCACCTGGAGCAAATATTTCAAACAGCTGACTGAGCTGCATCCAGAGACGTACTGTACGTGCACACTGTCGTGCATCACTGTGTACTGTTTATTACTGATCTGTGGCATTCTGTTGACACACAATCATGCATACTCCTCTGCTCTTGTTCCTGGAAACTGCCAAGTTAATCATAAACAAGGAAGTATAATTAGAGTCCAACTGGACATTACTGTGTGATACCTTTCTGACACTTTGGGAATATGCCTGGTGATTGACTAAAGCGTGCAGAAGGATATGTACTCACCCTTAAAGACAAAGTTGTAAGCCTCATCTGACCCCATGTTTTGTCCATTCAGTGTTGCCTCCTCCCAGTTTACAGCAGTCTGATCACAGGATATAAGATGACACTGAGCAGAGACCAAAATCAGCTTGACTTCAGGGAAGAAACTGGCAGCAAAAAAGGTTTTAACACGAGTGGCAGTCAACAGCTTTCCTGACCTTCACATCCTTCCCCTCCCGTGTGAGTTAAGAGAAGGCTGACTTGTTTAAACAGGACATGTGGAGCGTATCCAGGTCGTTCTCCTGCAGCAGGCGGGGCCTGAGTCAGGAAAAGGCAGAGCAGCAGTGGAGGTGTGTCCAAATAATGGAGTCACTGCAGGGCAGGTTGGACAGGTGGGGCCAGTGGCAGGTACAGCAGAGGCGGACTCTCAAACGCCTCCTGGTGGAGGAGACGGCTCCAGGAAGCGAAACTGCCCTGAAACAGAGCTCACATGCTCCTTCAAAAAACCTTACCCTGCATCACCACACCTGTCACTGTACATCCTGTCCGGTCAAGCTCCTGGACAATAACAGACCAAAGTGCAGACAACAAACAGACTTTCTTTAAGTTAAAAACGAGTTTCTAAGATCAGTGTAAAAGGTTGGGCTCAGTTTTAGCTTTCAGTTTTCATCACAAATGTGTTTCTGAGAGGACAAATCAACGCACAGCTGCTTGTAGATAATGAGAAGTAATTAGTATTGAACACAACATCATCAACTCATTACTAAAAGAAATGTAATAGCCCAATATCACTCAGTATTTTCCTTAAATGGTACTTAATAGAAAAACAAAATACCGTACTTAAAGAAATGATGATACTCAGCCTGCGTATGCAGTAAAACGTCTTCCTCATTAAAGAGTTTTGTCTCCTTCGAGCAGCAAATAAATCAGTCGTCTGTTGAGAGTGATAACAGCAAATGGGAGGACGATGTGACTGCTGAGAGCACAGATATGATACCAGTGTATACAATTAAAATATTAAAATAATTGTAGGTCGCTAGAAAATAGTCACACGCAGTAAAAGAAACAAATGAAATCCCGATGTGTAAAAACCTGTTTAAAATGTATATTTAAAGAAAACAGATGGAGCCAAACAAAATAAAACTAAGAGTATTAAACACATTCAAATTAAAGGTTCAATAAGAGGTTAAAGTTGCTGAATGAACAGCTGTTTCTATGCGCTTCCATGAAAATACGCTGCCTGTGGCCTCACAGCACCGTGACCCTGAACTGCGTAAAACGATAGAGAGATACTGACAGCAGCCTGAGTAACGTGTCAGTGCTGCTGAGATTATTGGCACTTTATGGTCCTTTAGTGTTTTCCTGAGTCACTTTACTTAAAGGTTTAATGTCTTACTTTTGTACTTCTGTAATTATCTCACTGCTTTTGTTTATTTCTGTTTGCGTGGTGTTTTGGACTCTGTGTTCTGACATCAAGCTTTATTAAAATGTTCTGTTCTTCTGCATTTGGTTCTTTTTAAAATATCTGATGATTCAGACGAACTGGAACGCCTTAAAAATGAAAATATAAATTGAACAAATGTCATTCTTTCAGCAACATTTCAGTGTGATTTGTCATGTTTCAGTATCTGTGCATAAAGAACAAAAGCAGCCATTTACCCAGCGACTGACTGCTGGAACAATAAAGTAGTGAAACTTATGCTTTCTGGGTTCTTGTCGTAGATGCAAGTTTGCTACGTTACCCTTCCTGCCCCACGTTTCCATCATGTTTTCTTCTGTGGTGCCAGGAAATGAAGCAAGGCAGCGCGAGTCCCCGGCTCGTCAACGCTGCCTCTAAGAATTTGTCATTAAAACTAATTCCAGGGATTCTGGGTCAAAATTTTTAAAGTTTTTTTCTTTTTCTGTTTCCAGGTCGTGACCACATTTTTATTTTCTAAAGCCCTCGGTACATCACACTGTTAGTTTTAATATACATCTACACCTCCATCATTCCTCTCGGTCACGTCAGCGTAGAGAACAAAGATTGTGCAAATTTGAATGTACATTTCTTTTATTTAACACCTCTGAAATAATACAATCATTCTTAACTGCAGCTCAAGAAAGTTCAAAGTTTCCACACATATTTCTCTTTTCATGAGATTTGAGCTCCTGACAAGTTTCAAAATGCTCAAATTTCTGTGTAGCCTTGATCAGCATGCCTGAGCGAAAGCTGCAAATGAACAACTCGACTGTGGGAACGTTTGATAATGGAATCATTTCAGCAGACAAATTTAGCCAAATTTTGAAGGGAACGTATTCACAAGCGAGCGGAAAGAGTTACGCACCATACAAGCTGGTAATTTTTTAGTACAAACACACATAGATACATATATACACACGCACACACACAAAAGCTTGCCCGTTCATTGACATATATGCATTATGCATTAAGTGAACAAGCAGAGTGGCACAGTAGTCCATGAATGGATCACATGGATCACATGACATAAGCATCCAGAAGAGCGTGAGTCACATCTCGACTACGACGCTGCCACTTGAGTTAAAGGTTCCTCCAGATACTGGACCAGAGCTTCTGCCTACAATCACAACACACACAGCACAGTTATGTTTGGAATAAATACATATCTTTTCAGCATAACAAAGTATTATTATAAATAATCAATATAAATTCTACTTGCATAACAACCTTCTGATGTGAACAGGACAACCTGTATTTCGTTGTGACATATGATATTTGACTCAATACATCAAATTTTAATTTTGATCAACATAAATGTTAAATGATGAGCGGGTGACATGTTTCACGATGCTTATAAATGTTAATCATTATCATTGAGAATGTGATTGAGACTAAATTTTAAATGTCTCTTGTGACATGTCATGAACTTGCAAGAAAATTTTGCTTTCTTGGAAGAAGAAAATTTAGTGATGTAGTATTTATTAATGTATTTATTTTTATAAATCAGCTTGGTTGAATCTATCCACAATGGAAAACAAATGGAACAGAAAGCCTTGCCTTGTTCAGACATCTGTTATCTGTTACCTGGACGTCCTGAATACAACACGAGATTAGTTAGCCTCCGGAGGCTGTGTCAGCAGATTAGCTGACTGGGAAAAGTGGCTAAAGTTCTGACTAAGAAAAATTGGAAGCACATTCAAAAAGATGGACACAGTCTTAAAAAAACAAAGCTCAGTCATACTGAACTCATTATAAGAGGCACTAGTTCACTGTTACCTCTGAGTCAGACTTTTGTTAAACTGAAAGCATGTTTTGCCAAATTACATCAAACTGCTGAACTTCCTTCATTAGCAGAAATCCTCTGCCTCCGTAAAAGAACTCTGAAGTAAAGCGGAGGTAAAATTAAAAACACAAAAAGCTAAAAATAAATAAAAATCCTCGTTGTTTCATGTATTTATGTGCAAACAAATAATGAGCCACACTTTACCCTCAGCTGTTTCCATATTAAATCCATTCTCAGCTGGTCTGGAGGCTCAAAATAAGAGTTTTTATTCATTATTTTGTCTTTGCATGCGAGAGCTTCTATGTGATTTAAAGAGACATAAAAGTACTG